TTTCTCCATTATAAGGATGAAAGCAAATTGTAGAATCTCACTATAAAATGGGAGTCTAGCAAAGCGTTTGAAACTTGAATTAATCAAGAGATTTGTCGAGGAATAAAAAAATAAACTTAGAAGCTATTTAATTTGTATTTCATTTATTTTTTCTTGACAAATTTAAAATCTAAACACAACTAAAATTGTTGGTTTTGTAGATATAGAACTATGTTTCGACAATTTGTCTAGGGATATTTACATAGTGCTTGTTTGAAATATGCTATATAAATATAAATCAAAGGTAATACATAAATATATATATTTCAAATGGTAGAAGAATATCCAAACAATCATAGTCCAAGAATTGTAATAGTCTAACAACTAACCCAAAAAAAAGTGCCCATAATCAGAAGAACGTGATTAATGAAATTATTCGGTACGAAGAACAAAATTATTATTTTCAAGAATTATTTTCTATATTTTTACTTCATTGCAACTAGATCACTTTAATTGTTGAAAAAGTCACTAGTGGCTACAGGTAGTGTTGGTGATATAGACAAATAGACAAATTGGATAGAGAGATAGGTGACATATGAATAAATAGAGATGACAAGTGGACAAATAGACGACGGTTGAACAAATAGGTGACATGGATATATAAGTGGATAGTAAATAGATAGATAAGGATAATATGGTCGTTTCAAATTGATTTATTCTTTTGGTTCCAAAAGAATAGACCTTGGGCTTGTTGCCCAAAATTTTACTAATGATACTCGTAAAAAAATGGATAAACTACTAATATATTCTAATAGTTGAACTTAATTTTCATTAAGTCCTATTGAAAATTAGTCTTGGTAAAATTGTCGCTAAAAATAATTTTTTTATGACAATTTTTTTTATATGTCGTTAAAAATTGATAATTAGTGACTTTTTTTGGTAATAATTTTTATAAATTGTCGCTAAAACTTACAATTAGTGACTTTTTTTATGATAAATTTTTCTCATAAGACCTATTAGATAATAAATCTACTTATTAAGACCTATACGTAAGTACTCCTAAAAAAATTAATTAATTAAGTTGAATTTTATCAAGTTGCTAATATGGATAAATCCCTTGAGGTATCTTTTTTTTCCATAAGATAACGATTAAATGACATGGTCATGAAATAAAAAAACGGAAAGTATATATATATATATAGACAGATATATAAACAGATAAACATGATGCATAAAAACAAGACAGTCCACATGGGAACGAATATATAAACTGAGACAGATGATATCAACACATAAGTCACTTGGTTTCGTTTTTATTATTTTCTTAAGAATCTACTGAACCAAATTTCTTGTTTTTATTACTTAATCATGTCACATAGTATTTAAGTAATATTTACTCCAATCATTTATGTAGTCTTAAATATCAGGTCAAAAAGTTATTCAAATTGGCCTACTGTTTCTATTTACAATAATCCTTCCTTCAAATACGTGGCAGCCCAAATTGTCCCTATTTGAGGTTTCATTTGGGATGTGAACTGAATTTTTAAATTTTTGATTATTTTAATTTGGAGTTAAAAAGTTTTGTTTTGGACGAGCTTTTATTTTTTTAATTTTTGTGAAAGAAAAAATAAAATTATTATAGTTTAGATGTGATATTTTATTTTTTAATTTTTTTACTTTTTTTTATAGTTAAAATAGCCAAAAAAAACTTCCAACTTTTTATACCAAATGAGTGCCAAGTTTCAATAATTATAAATAGACCTCTATAAAATTGAAAAATTACAAAAAACCATAAAAGATATTAGGAAAAATTATATTTGTATGAAATCTTAAAAGTAATAATTATATGTATTTAGTTACAATGCTTAGAGCTCAAATAAAAAATAATTTAGATTACATTTCTATGTTAGAAAAGTGAGTTAAATAGATTAAATTTTATTTTGATTATTGCTTCTGAACAATCTATAATAAATTATAACTAGAAAATTATTAGTATTAAAGATAAAAACATCCATAGAAATGTAGATTATGAACGAAATTTTTTGCAAGAGTTAATATTAAACTAAATCCACAAATTCGCAATTGAAATTGGTATCAGAGTTCGATTTCTCAGCCTTGTCAATAACATTTGCATTAGTATAAAATATAATGAAGAAATAGAATCTGATAACCTAAATAATCACTACAACAAAATTGACTTTTTACGGCATCACATCAACGGCATACCATAAATGCACGCCGTAGTTTCTCATTTTTACGACTTGCTTTTTTTGTATGTTGTAAATACTTTTCCAACCACGACGTGTCTATTGTGTAGGCTGTAAATGGTAATAACGATGATTTTTTTACAGCTTGTAATGTATGCCATAAATAATAAAACTTTCTACGACGTGCATATGGTATGGCGTTAGTATATCAATTATACACGACATACATATACCAACCGTGAAAAGACTTTTTACGGTGTACACAATGTTCGCCGTTAAAAGTATTGCACTTTTTACGACGCACACATCACATGTCGTTAAAAATATTACCTTTTTACGACGCACAATGCATATCCTAAATTATAGGATTAAAAAAAGGCGCGAAAATAAAATTTAGGGAGCCAATCACCAAATAAAAAAAAAAGAAAATTGTTATTACAATTTTTTATTTTATTTTATTTTTTTCCAAAATAACTATTTTGCCTTCCTCTAATCAAAATGAACATCACAAGGGTTTCAATCTCTCTCTCTCTCTGATGATGATAAAGGTTGAATCAATTGCTAGGGTTACCAGGATCATCTCATCTCTTCTCTTCTTCTCTTCAGTTGTATATCTGAAATCAAAGGTATCTATCATCGTCTCATGCTTCTCTTCTCTTCTCTTCTCTTCTTGGTTGTGTATCTGAAATCCCTAATTCATTCTCACTCCTAGCCCAGTCTTACCCTAGTCTCTTTTGCTTCTCCCTCTCTCTCTCTCTCTCTCTCTCTCAGTGACCGCAACATCGTGTGTAGTACCCCACACAGCGACGTGGTGGCACCGCCCTGTCTCAACCACAACAATGACGCCTCTCACCCCTGGCATCCTCTCCAAACTTCTCCAAAATCTCATCAACACTGTCGCCAGAGGGTATTGAGAAGAAAGTGGGTGTGAAAGGAGAGATTGAGGGTCGAATACATTGTGGGTCGAATACAAAACCTGATTTGGGGGTTTTTGAGAAGGTCTCGGTAAAAAAAAGAAGATTTTATGGATGGGTTTGATGAGTTTAAGATCGTAAAGAAATGGGTTAGAGAGAGAACGTTATCCTTCGTTGTAGAAGTAGCAATCTTCGAGAGTCACAGCAACAATGGCTGCAATGGCTGCTCTTCAGAGCTCTTTCACTTCTTTTTCTCTCTCAAATTCCTTCTTGGGCCAACACCTTTCGTCCCCCTCCCTAGTATTTGCTCTGTTCTCTCAAATTTTGTTTATTTTTAGCTTTTAAACCCATATTCTCATGGAACTTGAATTGCCCATACTAATTTAATTTCAATTTTTTGGTGATTTTCATTCATATTATGGCCCCGTTTGTTTGGGGTTATAGGGAGGAGATTGGGTTTAGTAGTGAGGAGGGGATTGAGAATGAAGTGTTTGTTTTGAGAGATAGGGAGGGGATTAGTAATCCCTTGGTATTAGTAAGGAGGAGGAAGGGGGATTGGTAAGTAGGAGGTAGAGATGGTATTAGAAAAATAGTGAGAGGATTAGAAATTTTTTTATTTTTTTTATTTTTTATATATTGGGAATTTTTTTTTTAATATAATGTTTAATTTTTTTTATATTTTTTTATTTGTTTTATTATTTTATATAAAAATAATTTAACAATTTCTCACTATTAATCCCTCACGATCAATCCCTTCACTAACAATCCCCTCGCTATTAATTCCCTTATTATGAATCCCCTCCATTGTATTTCTGAAAACAAACGGAGTCTATGATTTTTTGTTGATAATATCAAATGGGTTTCTCACAATTTGGAGTAATTGCTCTTTACCTGGTCATATATCAATTATTAACCCTCAAGTACTTTTGGCTTCAGTGTTTAATTTGAACTCTTGCTCATAATTTTTGAATAGGTCTGCACAGATTGTTCAAAACCCAGGTGTTGTTATTAATTGTCATACAAATCACAGGACACCCTACTTTCTTCTTGAATTACAGAACAAGATGCCATGACAGGGCACTAATATTCTTTAGTCCAAAAAAGCCAAAGATTTGGGTTGTGTTTGGTTAACACTTTAGAAGTACAAATTACCTTTTTGTATACTTTCAAAATGCCATTAAAACAATCTCTGACTAGATCACTAGCCTGTCGCTTCCTTTTTTGTAATTGACTACATACTCCTAAGGCCAATCGTGATGCTCAATGATAAAATTGAGGAGCAAAATAATACTTTTGTTTCGTATGCCAACATTGTGTTACTTTTTTATTTTTTATTTTGTAAATAATGTTTGGTTCCAAAACCTGTTGCAAACTTGATTTGCTTAAAACTATGGTTTTATGCAACATGAAACATTAGATGGAAATGTACTACCTATACCAACATAGTTCTCTAAATTGTTTGGTTATTGTGAACGAAGATACGTTAGAGACCAGCACATATCGAAATATATCAGAACACTCCGAAATTATTAGAAAAAATCATATGAAAAGCATTACATTTGAAAAAAAAAATTGGATCACTGTGGATTTGAGGGCAACTCTACCAGTTGCTATACATTGTGCTATTGCTAAAATTTAGCAAGATAGACACAAAAAGGGGAAAGAAAAAAAGAAAACTCTAGCAGTGTGCTATCATTGTGCCAAATTTAGCATGATGCTGTCCACATCATTGTAATTTTAATATAAATTCAATAACTTAATTTAATTTTTTTAAGATAAGCGTTACATTAAATATTTAGAATTTGAAAGAATTCCATAGACAAATACCTATTATTAAATTTTATTTAATGCAAGTATAAATAAAGCTAAATGAATTGACGTTTTGGATATATCAATTACTGAATTATAAGTTTAGTTTAACAATACTCAAATACATATAATTTGGTACATGTGGTAGAAATTAAATCATGTTAAAAAAATATCCTTTGCACTGCTGGAGTGGGTTTCTCGAAACATAGGATTTGGTTAATATGATGCGACTTTTCACAGCCATGTAACTGGATGGTGCTGTGATTGCGGAGAAAGGGTGAGGAGGTTGCTTCATATTTAAATGGCTGCTGTATATTTCTTGTTGGTGAGTTTTCTTTTGAGAATTGTCTTCCATAATCGTACTTCAAGTTGTTTTTGTGATTGAACTCTATGGAACGTGGAATCCAGGAATGATGGGCTCCGGAAAGACTACAGTGGGCAAGGTTTTTTCTGAAGCACTAGCTTATTCTTTTGTTGACAGGTTAGTTTGTCAACTTTAATGTGCTTGTTTTGCTTTTTGATGAGTACAATATGTTATGGACCAAAAACACCGTAAGGGGGCGAACCCTGAACAATACCAAGCACAAACTATACATCACAGTTGGGATTACTTAACATGGAGGTTATTTAGTTTGTCGCCATTAATTGGTTCTCAAAGGCAGACTGTATATAGGTTCTGGAATTAAGTTTGGAATCTGAAAAAAGTTTGAAGTGGGTGGATCTAGACAATTTAAAAAATATATATTTTTTTCCCCATTGATATGGTAGAATGCTGCTAATTTTTAAGGAACTTCAACTCATAAAAACAATGTCTATTGGTGCAAACAAGATATGCAGAACTGAATATTAAATTGGTTGGGCTTGAGTTTATGGGATTTAAATTGAGCTTAGGCATTTTGAAACTTGATTTTTATACTTTTCACCAAGCTTCAGCTTGTTAACTAGCCTAATCGAACATACATATATTGCCATTTCATAGCATACTAGTAGAGTTATTGATTGGAAGTTGCTGGCACACTGCACTTGCTTACTTCATTGCCCATGAAACTGCAGTGGCTTTGTAGTATTTGTTAGCATCTCACTTTGAATCAAGCTTAGTGATGTTCAACTTGGCTTGTTAGATACCCAGAAAGATGGCAAATAGGGGGATGAAAAGAGTCTCTTTTACCTTTAAAATGTTCCAGATTTTAGATTTTTTTAGTCTCGATTTTACACTTTTACATGACAACATTTCATGTACATATTGTAAGCTGCATGCTTGTTTCTATTCTTTGCAACTCCTTTCACATAAGTTGTTCTTGCTGGTGTCTAATGAATTCCCTGCATATCCAAAAAGAGAAAATATGAAGAAAGTAGTGGTTCCAATAATGTATTTCTTGTTGGAATTCAGTAATAAAGCTTCTTCTTTCATCACTCAATTTCGTTTAGTGATTCCATTTATGCCTAACATGGGATGTACAATGGTTTCATTTTGACATTCAAATATTACAAAATGTATTAAAAGCAAATGTCTTCATTGTTTTGCATGGGTCAATCACCATGGAAGGAAGTGGAGGGATCAAATTGAATCAATCAGGATACTTGTGGAAAGTTCAGTAATAAATTTCATTAAAAATGAAGCAGTAGGTTTTAAAGAAGTCCTTGAAGAACGGTAATTGGAGTTTTTGGTATTTTTTTTTTTTTAAAATTTTTGAGTCTTCTAAAAGGCTTCAAAAACATTGAAGAACATACCAACGATGGACATGTGTGTATCCAAAGTTGATTAGGAAATTGGTAAGAGTTCATAAAAATATCCTCTTGCGGTTTTTTTTTTTTAATTGTCGATATTCCATTGGACACCTCCTTTCCTTTCCCATAAAATATCCTGGATATTTTCTCCTCAAAAGGCATGTCTTGTTGGGACCAAATTTCATGGTACATATGGAAAAACTATCATTTGGCGGGAGTAATGATTATAACATATTAGTCAAACTAAATTACATGTATATTGAGCATCTGATTTTTTTGACAAAGTATGTTGAGTTTCTAATTCTATGTCCTCTTTTTTTTCTTTGCTGCCAAATTGGGGCTTCACTTTTTGTTTTACAGAATCCAACTTGTATGCAGAATGTAGCTTTAGAATATATAAGGAGAAAATCTCATGTTTCTGATACTGCTGAGGGTGTTGAGGAAGGAAAATCTGGTAAAGATCTTATCCCGTAAATAAATTTAGTGAGATAGTATTTGTATCTGCTGCTGCTGTTTTATTATCATTGATGCAGTTGTTGTTAGTGTTGTTTTTCTCTTCTTCTTATCTCCCTTTTTCTCTTTTTGTTGTGAAATTTTTTCTATATGGTTGGACTGCTTTACCCTCTGTTTGAGCTAGGATTCTTTTTGCTTTAGCTGTAGAGCTGCGTTTGTGGTAGGAAGGATTTGGTGGATTATATTATGAGGGTGATATCTAGACAGATATCACATGCGTAGAATTGTTTAGGCAGGTTTTTGGAATGTTTTTCTTTGGAGATTCTGAATTTAAATTCCGTATATGTAGTATAGAATTACACATGTTGGTACAAAATTGTACAGATACAGTTGTGGAAGTGTCAGATATTGGTCTTGATAAGGTAAATATTGAAAGGATTGCATAGAAGACGTCGTTGCTTTCTACAAACCAATTTTGGTTTTATCTTCAGATTTATTTATTTATTTTTTTAACTAAGCAAAATGATTGGGAGACTTTACGGAGAGAGTGTGCTTCTATATCTTGGTATTGCTGACAGGAGAACTCTTTGTGCTTGGCCTAGTAGTGGTCCAAATGTATCATCTATATAACCAAATTTTGGAACAATTGATTCCTTGATTGTTGAGTTGTGTAGCGATCCCAATTTCGATTCTTCTTTCATGTTTTGCCACTTCGATTGGGTAGGCCGGGGATCAAGCTGCTCGGTTAGCTTGCGGGGGTCAAGGGGGCAGCGTCCCTTAGCGGGTCTAAAGGCGGCGCCCTGGCGGGGTCGAGGGGCAGTGTCCCCGAAATAAAAATGCAAAATGCATTCGAAGTTACTTGAGCCGCACATGCGAAAGACGTGGGAGGGCTTGCTTGGCTACTGCAATAAATGCAGGTGCGGGAGTGCAAGTGTGAGAGAAGCGCCGCACGTGTGGTGGTAGGTGAGTCCAAAATTTTAGTCTTTTCTTCTCTTTAGGCTGAGTGTATCTCACTTTTGTTAGGTCTCTCTCTCTCTCTAAAAAAACCGTTTTCTCTCCCTTTTCTCTACATTTCCCTACGCCAAATTGGATCAAAACCTTGATTTCTCAATATCCATTAGAGTTCTGCCATAGTTTCTTCATCAAAGTTCGTTAACTTCTCGAGAGCTTCGTTGTGTGTAGTGAAGATCAAGTTTCGGCACGTTGATTTTGGGGGTTTCATCTCATTTCTTCTTCAAAACTTGAGGCAATGATTTTCTTAGAGTTATATATATATTTTTGCAAGATCTAGATGATTTTCGAAATCATCCTTCGATAGCTTTGAAAATTGATTGTTGATTCAAGAAGTTGAGTGATTTTGAAAGTGGGTTTGTCTCTTGTTATTTTAAAATGATCTTATGGGTTTTGATCTTTGTTGATTAAAGAAAAGATGATTTTAGAAAGTTTTCTTTCAAAAGATTTGAATTGTACAATTTTGTGAGAAAACCTAGAAATTGAGAATTTTTAAAAGAGATTGAAAATCCATGAATGATATTGTTATATTTATTTTGCGTGTCCAAATAAATGGATGTTTGAAAAATTTCTTATTTATATTTATATAAATAATGAATTTCCAGGAATATGAGAATTGTTGTTCATTTTGAAAATTATTGTTCAAAACATTGAAATAGTCTTAAAATGACTAATTGTTGAGGATACTTGAGAAGAGGGAATTGTGTTATTCCTTGGATGATGAATTGGAATAAAAGTATTTATATTCATCTTGTGAAATTGGCATATCAATTCATTTGATTACATTAAACTTTGAAAGTTGATTTGAAAACTTGCATTGAGAAAAGAATGTTGAGAAACAAGTTTTTATGGAATGGTTTTGGGGTAAATACGGTGGTAAGTCTTGAAAGGTGGTGTAAATGATAGGTGTCAAGCTTTCCAGTTAATACAGGTAAAAATGACAGATTACAGGTGTCGAGCCTTCCAGTTAACACTAGTAAAAATGATAAATTGGTAGTACTTGTATAGTCTACTTGTAGACACCGACTTGGGGATTACCAGAGTCGTATTTACCGCTCTTGAAATGAATTGTTAAGTTTTGAAGAATTGAAATTGCATGACATCGTTGAGCATGAGGGTTTTCAAAGATGAAGATGTGATTTTCTTTCAAAAGAGTATAGCATGGCATGTGTATTTCATCTCTTGAGATTTGTAAAAAATGTATATACTTTGTTAAGGATTTCTTATTGGGCTTTATGCTCACCCTATAGGATTTTTGTGTAGAAAAAGATGTGGTGATGTCGCCTAACTAAAGGCGAGGAAATGTGTGTTGAGAGTACGAGACTCTCATTTTGCTGTGACTCTATGTGTAAGCCAAGGGCTGTATGTGTGTGGGTTTGAACAACAAAGAATGGATATCAAATTAATAACAGAAAAATATGAGGAATACAGAATAGTTTTGGGTGAAAAGAAATGTGCGTATATAGTGACCCTGGTTTTGACCCGACTCTTATGGTATCCCAGACTTGGGTTCATGGTTTTTGGATGTTGTTCATTGTCTTTTCCTCTTTATTCCTCTTTGAATTTAGTTATTTGGACGTGTTGAGTGTGTTTGGAACAAGTTGGTTGCGTGATTTTCAAACCCTGTGTTGCCCAGAATTTTGGTCCTATGCTCGAGCGTCCCTTCTTGTGCTTGAGCAGGATTTGCAAACTCTCAATACTTTGCACGTCTGCAAAAGTACTGGAGGGGTGTTTTCCATGCTTGAGCGGCGTTTTCTATGCTCGAGCTGGTGGGCGCTCGAGCGTCACTTCTTACAGTTGAGTGGTTTGTCTGTTGTCTACACAAGTATTGGAGGTGTGTATTCTGCGCTTGAGCAGGACTTTTTGAGCTCGAGCGCGTCGACTCTTGTGCTTGAGCGGACTGTGCATATATCAGATCGCGAAAATGACCTTTTACATCACTTTTTCAGATCTTTTCATCCTAAACCCTAAAGTTGAGACCCCCTCTCTCTACATTTACACCTAGATTTAGTAATCTCTACACCCGTGTGCCTTTATTAAAAGAGAGTGCGTCTCAAGAGCTTCCTCTTGGTCTGATTGACGTTTGATTTCGGCGTCTTTGAAGATCCTCAATCTCTTTTTTTGATCTCCTAAGCTTGAGGTAGGAATATTCTACACCTTAATATGATTTTCAGCCTAGTTATTTATTGTTATGTATAAATGGTGGAATATTGGGGATATTTGTGGATAAACCTAGGGTTTGAGTGTGGAATGAAAGAGGGGTTTTCAAATGTAATTGGTAAAAATGGTTTGGGTGTAGATGTAAAGGTTTGTTGTTGAAAAAGAGTTGATTTGGGCACTTGAGTTAGTATTTGGATAAATAGGAGTTATGCCTTAGATGGGTCAATTTTTGTTTTGTATAAATAAATGAAATTAACTATGGTGGTATGAATTGGATAGTTGTTGATATACATGGTGGAGCCGGATACTAGTTATCTCGCTCCTATGAAAATTTGAATAAATTATCTATCTTGAGATTGAATATCTGTTTAGAAATATCTGTACTGGGCTATCGGTGGAAGATAGCTATGATTGTTGTAGAAATTGCATGAGGATTAGGTAAACTAAAACTAATCATTTAATTGGTGTCATTGAATATGACAACACTTTAAATACATTGTATATGTATAATATTTTGAGAGGAGAAAGGGGATATACTCCATGTTCTGGGAAGAGATAGGGGATGGACTCCAGTGAAATTAAGTTGGCTGGAGTGTCTAGGGTGAAAGTCCCGAAATCATGTGTATATATGGGTGCCGATCCTGCGAACGAAATTTCCGTAAAATGACAAGATTGAAGTGCTTGTATGATGATTGTGTTGATTGAGAACCACTGAGTTGTAGTCTCAGTTGGGTTATTCGGAGAATTATAAACTTGGCCCATGAATTTAAATGAAATGATTAACTTGAAATGAATAGATGTGAATGGATTGAGATGTGAATATCGGTACTGTATGGTCTTGTGGAGAATGTGTGTTTTGTCATAAATATTAAATATACACTTGGCACTTATATCTTCGTTAAACCTCATATATTGTGATAGATTATTTCTATTGGGTTTTAGCTCATCCTACTTGGGAAACCACTTTCAGGTACCAGTGACGTGTTTCCTCCAAAGACGTAGTTTGGGAGGACCTGGGAGCTGGAGGCTCTATTTTGTTGTTTTGTGCTTAAATGTTTATTCAAGCCAAGGGTTTTAGATGTACTGAACTTATGACTCTCTTTTGTTGTAACCAAGCAATGTCTTGGAAAGATGTAAGCCGGTAGTGCATTTATTTTGTTTATCATTAACTAGTATTACATGCTATAAATTCAGGATATACATTTATGAATGTATATTACATGTGTTATCTTTTGTAATACGAACTCTGATGAATGAAAATACTTTATTTCTATTTTTCTTCTATTTATTATATGATTTTCGAGGGCATGACAACTTGGTATCAGAGTGTACCGGGTTTGAATACTTTGGGTACGTGGGAAGTGGTTAGTACCACAATAGGTTTGTCTCGCTTGGTTGAGACGTTAGTATGTATTGTATGCTTAGGTGATAACATGCTTATATGACTATATGGGCATGGGATTTAGTTCCTAAGATATCGATTGGTCTACGGGTTTCTGGAAGTCCTATTAGAAAAGCACTTGATCACTGCTGTTTCTAATTGGAACTCTAGCAACGCCATGGGACGGTTATTATCTAGGAAGGAAATTCGTATGTGATTATGTGATTATGTACTTATATGGAGTGATTTACTGTTGTCCATTGCATTAGGACGTGAGTGAGTTAGCTTTGGCACATCTGGAAATGTGTTAATCTCTTTCGTTACCTTTATTAGTATGTCAAGACGTAGATGTGGTGGTGGTAGGCGTGGTAGGCCTAGAAGGCATGAGATGCCTTTACCGAATGATATTTCGGCACAGGAAGAGGAGGTTGGCCAGGCCAATGTGCCTG